CATGTTGTTCGACTTCAGAGTGCAGAGGTCATGGGTTCTATTCCAGCTTTGGCCTTCCTGTGTGACGTTTGCATGTTCTCCCTGTGCTTGTGTGGGTTTTCTCCGGGTACTGCGGTTTCCTCCCACATTCCTAAAACATACACAGCAGGTTAACGGAACACTCTAAATTGTCCCTTGGCGTGTTTGTGAGCACGACTGGTTGTTCGTCTGTGTGCCCTGCGATTGGCTGATAACCAGTTCAGGGTGTACCCAGCCTACTGCCTGAAGACAGCTGGGATTGGCTCCAGCACGCCCGCAACCCTTGTGAGGATAAGCGGATTAGAAAATGGATGTTTGTGACCATTTTGACAAATTTTTGAAGGCTTACAGAAAATTGAGTTTTGTAGCTATACAAGCAAGCCTTAACCCTCTTCTTTCATCAGGAAAAAAAATAAAATTCTACCTTTTACCATTGTTTAGCAGACAGCAGTTGAACATTGGTAGGTTTCTTGAAAATACTAATTTCCCCCAAAAATTCAGAGAAAAAGAGCTTTTTGTGAAAGGATGAATTTCAAGCAGAAGGTGCAATTTTTTTGCAATTGTGATACCTCAAATATCTAAACAAATTTAAAATGTTTCCAACTAAGTAACATAAACAACACAAAAAAATTTCGTTGCAAAATAACAGTTTGTTGCAAAAAAAAAAACAACAAAACACTGCACTGATGCATGAACTCTGCATGAACTTTTCATGAACGTTGAACTTTATTCATGTTTTCACCACAACACTGCTTTCGAACACCACATCGCCATCCATGTTGGATCGCTGTACTGTATACACACACACACTTACACAACGTGCGGCCCAAGATCTGACCAAAGTCACTGCTGCCATTTAGTGGTGCCTTATTATACTGAAATAATTCCCAAAGCCTTGATACTTACTGAGGAGCAGCGCGAAGCCTATTTATTTATATTTAGTAACAAAACACCAATAACGTAATTTTACATTTTGGTGTCAAATGAGTTAAGAATAAGGGGGAAATGTGGCCGGAAAAGGTATACAAGTGACATGAATGATTGTTATAATGGTGAGTCAGAAATCTTTGGGTGCTTCATAAGGAGTGGACTGAGGCTGGTGTCAATCCATCAAGAACCACCACACACAGATGTCGACACGACATGGGCGACAGCGAAAGAATTCAACATGCCATGCTGCTCCTTAACCAAAAGCAACATCAGAAGCATCTGTGCTAATAAGAAAAAGTACGATGTATGTTGGCAAGTGGTGGCAAATCCTCTTTTCAGAAGAAAGTATGCTTTCATTTGAAAATCAAGGTCCCAGAGCACATGTGCCCAAGTCTGGTCCTTGAGATCCCCTGTCCAGCTTGTTTTAGTTGTGTGTTGGGGGAGACATCTAAAACAGCATGGACAGGGGCTCTCAAGGACCAGATGAAGAAAGCCCTGTACCAGAGTCTGAAAAAATACTGTGACAGCACAAAAGTCAACCTGCTTAAATGCAAGAGAGTGAGAGTTTGAAAAACTGGGTGATGGTAAATTTTCCATTGTTCTCAGCAAATGTCTTCTTCGCTCATATATGCAGCCCGACAGAGTCAATTTTTTGACGATCCGTCGCTGTGTGTTCAGGCAGCTGCTTGGTGTGTCTTTCATCAGACTTGGTTTTAGGGGGAAAAGTGATTTAAAAACTTTGTGGTCTCAACTGGCGTGGAATTGAGCCTTCCCGCCTTTTAGTCGTCACCTTTCATTGCCATGCGGCCTTGTTAGTGCAGTCGATAGAGCGTCAGTCTCATAATCTGAAGGTCATGAGTTGATTCCTCATACGGGGTATAGCAGTCTTTTCCCAAACCTCTTCAGTTAAAATTGGTTTTCGCCACTTGAACATGCGTCTGGCCCATTGAGTCAATTCTCCGCTTGTTCCCTTCTCTTTATCCATATTGCCTTACATTCGTTACTTGTGCTAGCATGCGGCCTCGTTATCGCAGTTGGTAGCGCGTCAGTCTCATAAGATGCAGGTTATGAGTTCAACCCTCATACGGGGCATGGCAGGCTTTTCCCAAACCTGTTCAGTTAAAATTGGCATTCGCCACTTTGACATGAACATGCGTCTGGCCCATTGAGTCGATTCTGTGCGCGGTCCCTTCTCCTTCATCCATATCTCCTTAGGTTCATTACTTTTGCTAATCATGTGGCCTCGTTAGCTCAGTAGGTAGCGTGTCAGTCTTATACTCTGAAGGTCATGAGTTCAACCCTCACGCGGGGCATGGCAGTCTTTTCCCAAACCTCTTCAGTTAAAATTGTTTTTCGCCACTTGAACACGAACACGCGTCTGGCGCATTGAGTCAGTTCTCCGCTTTACCTTCTCCTTCATCCATATCGCTTCACATTCATTACTTTTGCAAGCATGAGGCCTTGTTAGCGCAGTAGGTAGCGCGTCAGTCTCATAATCTGAAGGTCATAAATTCAGTCCTCATACAGGACATGGTAGTCTTTTCCCAAACCTGTTCAGTTAAAATTGTTATTCGCCACTTGGACATGAACACACATCTGGCCCATTGGGTCAATTCTGCGCTTGACTTTCCCTCCTCCTTCATATCGCCTTACATTCGTTACTGTTATGAACATGTGGCCTCGTTAGCGCAGTAGGTAGCACGTCAGTCTTATAATCTGAAGGTCGTGAGTTCAACCCTCATACTAGGCATGGCAGTCTTTTCCCAAACCTCTTCAGTTGAAATTGTTTTTCACCACTTGTACACGAACATGCGTCTGGCGCATTGAGTCAATTCTCCACTTGTTCCCTTCTCCTTCATCCATATATCCTGATATTCGTTACTTGTGCTAGCCATGCGGCCTCGCTGATATTCGTTACTTGTGCTAGCCATGCAGCCTCGTTAGCGCAGGAGGTAGCGTGTCAGTCTCATAATCTGAAGGTCATGAGTTCAACCCTCATACGGGGCATGCGGATCTTTTCCCAAACCTCTTCAATGAAAAATGTTTTTCGCCACTTGGACATGAACATGCGTCTGACCCATTGAGTCAATTCTCCACTTGGCGTTCCCTTCTCCTTCATCCATATTGCCTTACATTCGTTACTTGTATGAGCCATGCGGCCTCGTTATTGCAGTTGGTAGCGCGTCAGTCTCATAAGATCCAGGTTATGAGTTCAACCCTCATATGGGGCATGGCAGTCTTTTCCCAAACCTCTTCTGTTGAAATTGGTTTTCACCACTTGTACACAAACACACGTCTGGCCCATCGAGTCACTTCTCCACTTCCACTTGGACATGAACACACGTCTGGCCCATCGAGTCACTTCTCCACTTTCCCTTCTTCTTCATCCATATCGCTTCACATTCATTACTTTTGCAAGCATGAGGCCTTGTTAGCGCAGTAGGTAGCGCGTCAGTCTCATAATCTGAAGGTCATGAGTTCAACCCTCATACAGAGCATGGAGGTCTTTTCCCAAACCTCTTCAATGAAAAATGTTTTTCTCCAATTGGACATGAACATGCGTCTGACCCATTGTGTCAATTCTCCACTTGGCGTTCCCTTCTCCTTCATCAATATTGCCTTACGTTCGCTACTTGTGTTAGGCATGCGGCCTTGTTAGCGCAGTAGGTAGCGCGTCAGTCTCATAATCTGAAGGTCATGAGTTCAACCCTCATACGGGGCATGGCACTCTTTTCCCAAACCTCTTCAGTCAAAATTGGTTTTCGCCACTTGGACATGAACATGCGTCTGGCCCATTGAGTCAATTCTCCACTTGGCGTTCCCTTCTCCTTCATCAATATTGCCTTACGTTCGCTACTTGTGTTAGGCATGCGGCCTTGTTAGCGCAGTAGGTAGCGCGTCAGTCTCATAATCTGAAGGTCATGAGTTCAATCCTCATATGGGGCATGGCACTCTTTTCCCAAACCTGTTCAGTTAAAATTGTTATTCGCCACTTGGACATGAACACACATCTGGCCCATTGGGTCAATTCTGCGCTTGACTTTCCCTCCTCCTTCATATCGCCTTACATTCGTTACTGCTATGAACATGTGGCCTCGTTAGCACACTAGGTAGCACGTCAGACTCATAATCTGAAGGTTGTGAGTTCAACCCTCATACGGGGCATGGCAGTCTTTTCCCAAACCTCTTCAGTTGAAATTGGTTTTCACCACTTGTACACAAACACGCGTCTGGCGCATTGAGTCAATTCTCCACTTGTTCCCTTCTCCTTCATCCATCTTGCCTGATATTCGTTACTTGTGCTATCCATGCGGCCTCGTTAGCGCAGTAGGTAGCGCGTCAGTCTCATAATCTGAAGGTCGTGAGTTCAACCCTCATACGGGGCATGGCGGTCTTTTCCCAAACCTCTTCAGTTGAAATTGGTTTTCACCACTCGTACACGAAGACGCGTCTGGAGCATTGAGTCAATTCTCCACTTGCTCCCTTCTCCTTCATCCATATTGCCTTATATTCGTTACTTGTGTTAGCCATCCGGCCTCGTTAGCGCAGTAGGTAGCGCGTCAGTCTCATAATCTGAAGGTCATGAGTTCAACCCTCATACGGGGCATGGCACTCTTTTCCCAAACCTCTTCAATGAAAATGTTTTTCGCCACTTGGACATGAACATGCGTCTGACCCATTGAGTCAATTCTCCACTTGGCGTTCCCTTCTCCTTCATCCATATTGCCTTGCATTCGTTACTTGCGTTAGGCATGCGGCCTCGTTAGCGCAGTAGGTAGCGCGTCAGTCTCATAATCTGAACGTCGTGAGTTCAACCCTCATATGGGGCATGGCACTCTTTTCCCAAACCTGTTCAGTTAAAATTGTTATTCGCCACTTGGACATGAACACACATCTGGCCCATTGGGTCAATTCTGCGCTTGACTTTCCCTCCTCCTTCATATCGCCTTACATTCGTTACTGCTATGAACATGTGCCCTCGTTAGCACAGTAGGTAGCACGTCAGACTCATAATCTGAAGGCCGTGAGTTCAACCCTCATACGGGGCATGGCAGTCTTTTCCCAAACCTCTTCAGTTGAAATTGGTTTTCACCACTTGTACACGAACACGCGTCTGGCGCATTGAGTCAATTCTCCACTACTTTCCACTTCTCCTTCATCCATATCGATATGCCTTACATTCGTTACTTTTGCTAACCATGTGGCCTCGTTTGCGCAATTGGTATCGTGTCAGTCTCATAATCTGAAGGTCATAAATTCAATTCTCATACGGTGCATGAATGCCTTTTAGCAAACCTCACTTCAAATTGTTTTTTCAAAATGTACATTAACACACCAACGGCCGATTTTGTAGATTCTCCACTTGACTTTCCCTTCTTCTACATCCGTTTCTTTAACAAAGGATTGTCAGAGTGTGACGATCTGGTATCAGTCACTCAGTTTTCTTGGGAAATATTGTTTTTGTCATATTAGCAGCCTGACAAAGTCTAAATTTCGACAACTTGCCTATGTGCTTTCAGGCTGATGTTTTTAAGTCTTTTTTTTTTTTTAAAAGAAACCACCTTCATTATCGCAGTAAACCTGATTTAACCGAGCCCTGGTGTCTAATTGACCCTTATCGCCTTTCATTCATTACTTTTTGCTGTCCATGTGGCCTCGTTAGTGGCGATGGCAGCGTGTCAGTCTCATAATCTGAAGGCCATGAGTTCAACCCTCATACGGGGCGTGGCAGTCTTTGCCAATGTGCTTTTAAACTGATGTTTTCAAGTTGTTGTTTTTTTAATGAAACAATCTTCACTGTGGCGGTAAACCTGCCATTCAAAAAATGTGAGCCTTGGTTTTGAATTGAGCATTCTCATCTTTCATTCGCTAATTTTACCGTCACTTCGGCCTCATTTACGCAGTAGTTCGCTCGTCAGATTTGTATTCTGAAGGTCATGACTTCAACCCTCATTTCTCGGGGCATCGCTGTTTTTTGCAGTTAAAATTGGTTTCAGCCGAGTGTACATCAACCCTTGAAAACTTCATTCAGTTGATTCTCAGCTTTGTTTTCGTACCTCCTGTATACCTACCTTAAACACAGGATAGTG